AAAGTGTCTCAATCAGCTACCCAAAAAGTATCGTAGATGTCAAAAACCTTCTCCTAAACCTTTTTTAAGAATTTATTATTTGTCATAAAAAGGTTTTAGTCAGAGGTTTTTCACGTCTACGATACCCCTTCTTGGATCATTTTACCAAACCATAAAGGACAGCTGATTGGGCTACTTTTCTAAACCCTTTTAGGTTTTGTACACGACGCATTTGTTTAGAGTGCGGATTGTCATCCTCAGGCTCGTCGATCTCTTGACTCTAGCCCGACCTTTTTACTATAAACAGTTACTGAGATAAATCGACGTTTATGTCAGTGCACAGAAAAAGCGAAAGTGTCAGTTATCAAAGTGTTTTTCGTATTTCGTCGACATAATTTCGTTTAATTTCAATGCCAAGTACATATTTGAATAGTCCAAGAATTCTGCTACAAAATTAGTTAAAACTTCTCCCGTTGCTATTTAATTTGGTTAGAATTTAACGAGCTTTTTCTGACGAACCAGCTGAAATAGCCATCAGCTTTAAACCTTGCTTGACGAATATCACGCCTTTCTCAAGTAATAGAGAGCTCATTTGTTCAGAAGTGAATATACAAATACAGAGGAGTAAAAATATTAAAAAAACTTTAAAAATTCATCGAGTAGAACGGACTTTATACAAAGAACAGCACAAAACAGTAACAGTACAAGGCGTTTCAATTCACTCACATATAGTCCACCTAGTTTCATTGAAAAAATGATTTGCAACGTGGGGTCCGTCCCTTGTGAGACGTGATTTTTTAGCTTGTTCTAAAATTCAATTTGAGGTTCCGAAGATTGATCAAAAACGTAATTCATTCTCGTCATAAACTTTCAAAATATAAGTCTTTCTCTGTAATGTTTTAGAATATCGCCAGAATACCAAGCACAACTAAAAACAAAAATGAAACAAAAGAGTTGTTTCATAGTCCAGTAAATAAGTTCTTGCTATTTATGCACGATATACAGATCATTTTATTTAAACGTGTTTTAGCCTGCTTCTGCTTTATCCTTGAACAATATAGCAGTTGAAAATTCAATAACTGTACGTATTTTTTTCTCATCACTTAATCATTTAAGAAAAAGTAAAGCTAATTTTATGAAATTATCGTCGAGTATTCTAAACAGTATATTTTCTCTCTTTAAAGATACCCAATAAGAAATACCCTCGTCTATCAATGAGCAGTAAACGATCCGATCATAGTGAATACAATGTGAGTTTATCGAACTTTTTTTGTGTTGAATACAATGACCATGATATTACTTTAGAAAGCTCAATCAATGAGAGCACAGTCAAATCGGTCTAGAGAAACTGTTAGTGATGTTGATAAAAACAAAGAAAAACGACAACGACTGAAAAAGATTTTAAAACCAATTAGGTTTGTGTTGTTTCGATTGTTAATAAATTTATTTATTCTTACCGTCTTAATAGGAAATGTGGTCCATTTATCATAAATCCATGTTGTTGTTTGACAGCATTATTGCTAACATCGCTCGCTTTAATACTTTTGGGTGGTCTTACAGGACTTATTGTGTACTTGACACACAGTAAGACGTTTTCTTTTTAATAATTCACAAACTTATGTCGTATTTTTATAGAAGACTCTAAAATCATCACCACTACTACAACAACAACAACAACAACAGCAAGTAAGATATTTTTTCACTTATACTATCGCGCGTCTTTTTTAAATTGTCTTTTTTCTTGGCTAATATAGTTTTATGCTCTCCAGCTTGTAAGCGTAATTATAAAGTTACGGATAAAATTACAATTACCAGCATCCATTCCATCACTATTTTTAAGGTATAAATTCTGGTACATGTATTGCCTTGTCAAATGGCACAAATTATTGTACTTGTAATAGCTATTGGTTTGGTAGTGCTTGTGAGATACGTAAGACACAAAAATGCAAAAACATGGTCCTCTTATGTGATGCAAAAATTAATTACGAAAGAAACTTTCATCTTTCGTTCCAGCTATTTGTTCACCAGATTGTCTGAACAATGGAACATGTACTGCTAATATTAACGGGTCGACATATTCTAATTATTGCACATGTTTAGCAACATGGACAGATAATTATTGTCAAACACGTACGGTTTTTTCTTTTCAACCAATAAAATAATCGTTGATAATATAAATATGATTTTATTCTTTTGAAATAGCTGTGTGTAATCCAACTTGTTTACATAATGGTAATTGTACCAGTCCAAATACTTGTGTATGTTATATTGGTGGTTTTGGTAATAAATGGCAAGGTTCCTATTGTCAAGACCGTAAGTAGCCGATCGTTTTTGAACAAAAACAAAACTGTCGAAAGTACAGATTCTGTGTGTATTTAACACAGATCTACATGCGAATCAAAACTCAATGATCCAATCCTAATCAGACACAAATAAAAAAATTTTTGTAGTTATGAGTAATAATCACTATTTTTCCGCAATCGTGAAAGAAAGTCATCAAAAATCTGCGTGTTTTCTCAATTTCAGTACCTTAAACGACAACATTTTTTCTCTTTTCTGACCTGGCCCAATTCTAATATATTTTCTTTAAAACGGTCTTCATCCTCACTTAATACGAGCTCTGATTGCTGCTAGTAACACGAATATATAAATCATCTTTGATGTAGTAACAAAAACACACATTTGAGTCCTATATGTATATTTAGCTATACCAAGTATTATTACTCAAATTACAGATACATATTATGCAATATGTAAGACAACGGCCGGTGGAGATAGTATAGCATCAACACCTGGTCTCGGTATTTGCCAATATACCAGTGGTGTTCGAGATGAAAATCCATTAAATGCTGTTGATGAAGATGTTACAACAAAATATGTAAATTTTGGATGGGGTAACATATCAACATCAAGTGCCACACAAGGTGTTGGTACAGGATTTTATGTTACCCCATTGAATGGTGTATCGGTATTGAAAGGAATTTTATTTGCAACAGCCAATGATGCAGAAGAACGTGATCCTCTGATGTGTACAATTGAAGGTAGTAATTATACAACATCATTACTTAGTAATGGATATACATGGACTCTTTTGTATTCGGGTACAAC